CCGAGACGTCCTTCACCTCCACCTTCACCGCCACTGGCATCGAGGGTGCGGCCGCGGAGGAAGGGGCGAACCGCCTAGTCCTTGCGTCCCTTCGGCAGTGGCACCTCTCGGGCCTGGTCATCTCCAAGGGCGGCGGTGGCGGAAAGGAGGCAAGAGGGGTGGAGTGCGGCGATGGTGAGTGAGGCGAACGTACGAAGGCGCAGAGCGTGGAGTGTGAGGGTGGCGAAGTGAGCGAGGCGATGTGACGGGGTGGCAGTAGTTATTTAATTTTGAGGGTAGCAGCAGTTATATGGAAGGGACGGCTCCGGTTTGGATCTGAATATGAAGGGAAGCAGTAGTACAGACGCGCCTTGACTACACGCGTCGGAAGTTACAACTACTCCAGACACGCCTTTAATACACGCATCTGTAGTAATTAATTACTGCCGACGCGTGCGTTTGCAGTAGTTAAATTGATAATTTCAAACTCAAATCTTCGAATACAATTTTAGTGCAGTAAATGATCTAAAATAAAAATGTTGTAAACATAAAAGTTATAGAACTTTTATTTTGTAAAACTTTTCATGTGACTTTATTTGTACAATTCAAAATTTGAATATCAAAAAATGGGAAGTTCAAACAAGATTTTCAAACACCAAATAATGTGAGATGAAAAAGTCATGAGCATAAAAGTTGTATATCTCAACAAGATCTACAACTTTTATTTTAGAAAACTTTTCATGTGACTCTGTTTGAACCATTCAAAATTTGAATATAAAAAAAGGCAGATTCAAACAACATTTTGAAACACCAAATGAATTCATATGAAAAAGTCATGAACATGAAAGTTGTACAACTCATCAAGATGTACAACTTTGATTTTGGTCATTTCTTCATCTGAGAAAATGATAGTAACATTGTTCACAAAATCTACATATCTCTCATATGGTTTCATAAACTATAAGAGAGATATGTAGATTTTGAGAACAATGTTACTATCATTTTCTCGGATGAAGAAATGAACAAAATTAAAGTTGTAGATCTTGATCAGTTCTACAACTTTGTTGTTGATAACTTTTTCAGTTGAAACCATTTATTGCTTCAAAATGTTGTTTGAAGTTACCATTTCTTGAAATTCAAATTTTGAATTGATAAAACACAGTCATATGAAAAAATGACAAAATAATCGCTGTAACAACACAATAAATGGGTAGAGCATGATTTTACAAAAAATTGGGGGAAATCATCAAATTTGAAGTTAGTATGAGGGAGAAAGACTAGTTACAAGTTTTAGCCAGAGATTAAAAAGAAAAATCACACTTGTTCATCAATCTTTGAACCAATGGAAATTATCGTGTTCCGTATTTAAATTATTGAAACCACTTTATGTTCGAACTCCTTACATAGCACAATGGAAAGACACTTGCTTCTAGGCCTACAGGTCTCAGGTTCGATCCCTGGGTGGGACATAATTTTTTGACCGGTTTTTTTATTGCTACAGACGCGTCTTGGCCACACGTGTCTGTAGTCAGAAATTTCCTTTTGCCCAAGTCCATTCACATCCAAGAACAACATTCTAGGGTTCCGCTATCTACTGCCCGCTCCCCGCCGCTGCCGCCGCATCTGCGCGCCTCCGCCGTCTTCGCCCCCGTCCGCTCCCCGCATTCTAGGGTTCCACCGCTATCGCATCCGCTCGCCGTCCGCATCCGTGCCCCAGCGTTCGCTCGCCTTCGTTTCTGATGCCGTTCGCCGAGGTCTCACAGCTCCAAGGCTGTCCTCCGCCATTGTCTCCAACTCCGTTCAGCAGGGCACGACACACCGTCTCCAAAGCGACTGCGCGTGGTGGTGGCCGTTCTAGAGGCACTATGAGCGGAGCAGAGGCCGCAGGTCGACGACATCTTCTACTTCCAGCAACCCCTTCATCCTCTCTAACAGTGCTAGCCTCCTCATTCCACCCCACCTGGTGAGTTCTAGCATGGATTTTCTTGAGTTAGATGTAGCAGCTTAGTGATTTTGCAATAGAAAGGATTTGTAGTAGGAAAGGCTATTATCGAGTCTCTGTTTGTTTCTGGTTGAGGGATTTTTGATGGATAGTTGTCAGGTATAGTAGATAGATACGGAGTAGTAGATGGATTTTTGAAAATTAGAATGTCTGGTTATGCTTGTATGTGGATTGAGATGTTCTTGTGCCTATGGCATGAATGAAATACTAGACTAGTAGCATTGGTTTCTAGAGCCTGAACTTGTACATTAATTTTAGTCTTATCATGTAGATGATGTACAATGGGTTGTAAATATTGATCTGGACTACTAGCTTTGCTATATTACTGAACACTTGCTCATACTCTACTTATGCTTGTTGATCAGTATAAACTCTTGTGGGTCATACTTAGCTGAGAATTTCAGTTAGTATTACATAATGTTGTATTTTCTGTTGCTTCCTAAACTAATGATCTGGTTATGTGGGTCATACTGATGCTTGCTCATACTCTACTTTGCTGTTGTTTTCACTACATATGTGTCAAACATGGCTCTGTGGTGCTGTGAAAGGTGTCTGCACTACTAGCTATTGACTGCCATTACAGTCCCTATCAGAATGGTAAGATGCAGCTTTGTGATATACTAATACTAGTTACTATTAGATGTCAGTGCTCTATCATGTTCACTAACAACCTTGCTCACCTTTGTTTGATAGACATCTGAGCACGCATCTACGGCATCATCAGCAGGAGAAGGCGAAGAACCAACTAACAGTGGAGAGGAGGGACACAACAGAGATGCTAATGAAGAGGAGGAAGAGAGAGATGCGGATGCAAGGAACCAAGAGGGAGATGGTACTGCAGAGGATGAAGAGAGAGATGCTAATGCAGAGGCACAGTAATCTGAACCTCCTCGTAAACCCCAAACAAGAAAGAGGACAGTCACCCGGTGGCCAGATGACAAGGTAACCGTCACGGGGCTAACTTCGACTAGGTTTCCCATAGAGAAGAGGGCCCAGATAGGAATGAGGAGGCTGGTTGGTCTGATTGCTAGACAAAGGATCTCCTTGGTCCTGCCTTCATTCAATTCACTAAGTGAACAAGACAAGATGATTATATTTGATGAGTGTGTCCAGCCTTGGTTGGAGTTTTTAGAAGAATTGAAGGTTGCAACATATAAGAAGATAATGCAGATGGTAGCCAAGAGTTGGAGAACCCACAAAAGCGACCTTACATGCAATTTCATCAACAAAGGGTTGGATGCAACGGTGAAGCACACATACATTCCGAAAGAAGATCGGGCAACATTTGTGAAACTAAAGGACAACGAAGAATCAAAGGCAACAAGTGAGAAGTACAAGAAGCTTCAGGATAGGAACAAGCATGACCACTGCCTAGGGACAGGAGGGTATGAAGGGAAAGCCACAAAGTGGGAGCAGGAGGACAGGGAGTTAGCAGCCCAAGGCATTAGTAATCTTTGGGACCAGTTTCCAGGTGGCCACCCAAGGAATTTTCTACGTGCACGGAGTACTTTGGTTAGGTCAGAAGGAAGTGCTGAGATTCGTTTGTTGAAAGATTCAGCTGAAAGTGTATCTAAGCTAATTTTAGAGAAGCAAGGAGCCCTTGACTCTTCAGGGCTCTCTTTGGTTCAGGACAAGGATGTGCTCACAGAGGTCTTGGGCAGCCAAGAACAGATAGGCCACGTGCGTGGTGTGTCTAGTTACTGTGGTTGGAAGCATTGGCCGGACAACGTCGGCATGTACAGAAAGAGGAAGCAATCAGCAAGTGATGTGGATGTGGAAGCCATCAAAGAAGAAGTTAAAAGCCAAGTGACAGAAGAAATTACCAAGAAGGTCACAAGTGACATCATGGCCATGCTGCGTGACCAAGGAGTGCATTTGAGGTCACCTTCCAACACCCCTAGCCCTATAGGTGGTTGGAAGAGCAGCTGTGCCTTAGCCTCGGATGTAGTCGAAAGAGACTACATCGACAGACTTGAGGCAACTCTAGATCTAGATACTATGGACCTTATAACAGAGCCAACACCGTGTAGCCTAGTAATCAACCCTAGAGGTTATCAGATGGAGGTAGCAAGGGGTCGGGTCTTCCCAGCGCAAACTGAGCTATGTTCACAACCAATAATGGAACATAATGCCGTTGTACATATTGACTATGTACATCTGGAACATGAGGACAGACCGCTGAGTCAGCCCCCAAGTCCTGAGGTAAGAACTCTTGGACAGGCTCTATACAAGAGGGTCTAGTGGAGAAGAGGCCAGATTGTGATATCAAAGGTGCTCTGTTCTCCAAAGTTATCAAGACCTCCATTGCCTGTGAGCTCCAAAAGCAATCTAAAGGACTTTGTGATAGGCGATGAGAAGGCAACCTCTAAGAGTGCAACTGTTGACAAGCGAAGAGTGGCACTACTGTAGAAAAGAGTGCTTCAAAGGAGACTGATGCAGCACCGGAGGAGCCTAAGTCCACAACTGCTCCAGCTGACCCACCGACAAAGCCAAAGAAGAATAAGTCCACAACTGTTCCAGCTAACCCACCAAAATAGCCTGCAGCAGTCAAGAGTGACTGCAAACTGGAGCAGCAGCAGATGGTGGAGAAACCCCCCAGATCGTCTAAGAGTGACCCTATGGTTATGTATGGAACAGGGCCAACGCCAAGTTCAAATTTGGAGAGCGATTTCTATCAGAATCAGAGCTTGAGACGGCAGGACCTGGGTGTGTTGCTCTTCATGCTTGGCACGTGAAAGAATGTGAAGAGAAGAGGACAACCGGGATGGTTGCTGTGTTTAAGAAACAACATTTTTTGCATGAGGCAGACACTGAGTTTTTCGCTATGGGATTAGAAGACTTGTTTGACCTCTTAAAACTTGATGGATTGGATGCAGGACTTCTTCGCGTGTTGTCACTATAAGTATAATTTCATCTATTTTCTAGGCTTCTTCATTTTTGGCTAGGGATGCTTTTCATATATTTGCTTGCTAAATTGCTTTTGTATGCTTCTTTATTCCTAGATGCCTAATTATAGAAGCTAGGGCCAAAGATATGCCTGTTGGCATTATTGATCCAGATCCAGTGTCAATAAAGACTATGAACACTGATAGAGGCTATAGCGTGGATTATCTAGAATATTGCCTAAGGAAATATGCCAAGAAAAAGTTTGTGATGTTTGCACATAACTGTGGTGGGCACTGGATTGCTGTCATCATCGCTCGAATGTGGCAAAAGGTGATATACCTCGACTCCAATAGAGGCAAGAAGTCAGATTTGACTCCTATCAAATCTATGATAGATGAGTGAGTATTGTCTAACCTACTATTGACCCATGTATTTCTTTTTTAATTATGTTAGTGGAAGTCAAAATTTTTTGATAACAACTCATGTATGAGTAGTGTTTTTGGCAATTGCCAACCCAAGCCGAAGAAAGGGCAGAGAAAATTGAAGTTGACCTCTGCATTCAAAATTCTAGTAAGTAGTGCTTCACTTCCAGTTGTGAAGTCGTTTTGTCAATTCAATTATTAACCAGTAGTGGATCCTCGACGAAACATGCGAGTTTCATTGTTCACATACAAAACCATGATGAAGTGCCTGGTATATATGTTCATTTGATCTGTGAATTATGTTTGGAGCATGTGAGATACAATTGGAGCTGTGAGATATAAACATTTGAGAATAACCTGGTGTTAAACAATCGATCTGTTGTGATCTCTGGGTGATATGTGTGTACTTTGAACAAATTAAGTTTTGACATGAACATATATGTCATTTCTGTGATATTTGTGTATATATATCTATGATCTGTGTATATATATCTATAATCTGTGTATATCTATGCTATTTGGGCTGTGCTGTGGGCTACAGATGGGTCTATGCTACAGACGCGTCTGTAGCATTTTTCTTAGTACAGACATGTCTGTAGTCTAGACCCGTTTATGGTAAGGAAAATACTACATACAGATGGGTCTATACTATAGACGCGTATGTAGCATTTTTCTTACTACAGACATGTCTGTAGCCTAGACCCGTTTATGGTAAGGAAAATACTACAGACGCTTACATGTGTACTGTACACGCGTCAGCATAATGTTTCTTCACACAGACGTGTTTACAAATATCGTCTGTAATAGGATTCTTACTACAGACTCGTGTATTGTACATGAGTCGGCACTATGTTTCCTCACACAGACGCGTTTATAAACATCGTCTGTAGTAGGATTCTTATTACAGATGCTTGTACTGCACACGCGTCGGCACTATGTTTCTTCACATAGACGTGTTTACAAACATCGTCTGTCAGTAGGATTCTTACTACAGACGCGTGTAAAAGACAAGCGTCTGAGATATGGTTTTTCACACACACGCGTCTTAATCTTCTCGCGGACGCATGTTGGGAACATGAGTTTCCAGTAAGAGCTTACTTTAGACGCGTGTAGATACTCACCAGTCTCTGTTAAGGGCTCATCACAGACTCGTGTTCATTTTCGTTACAGCCGCGTGTTAGTAACATCTGTATGTAGTGTGTGCTTATTACATACGCGCTTTTTGTGCGTCTGTAATAAACCTTATTACAGACGCGTTATGATAGGCGCGTCTGTAATGTGCCTGAACGTGCGTATGTGATGTGTTTTTTTTATGCAGTGTCTTCTCCCTCGAGACGTATATGAGGCTGGGGATTCCATCGCCTGCAGCCTGATTGCTCTTGCTCTTGCTGCTGCTGTCCCACAGCACCTGAACACTCGCGGTCGCGGTTAGCAAGAAAAAACAAAGCAACGAGATGGGCACGCGTTTCATCATGGCTGCTCGATCCATGAGTTCGTCTCACCTTGATTATAGTCGGGTGGCTCCTTCGGTCAGCACCCACGAACTCGGCGAACTCGCCGTCGCCGCGCCGGACTAGGGATTCCTCTTCGGCGTTCTCGATCCAGCGGACCAACTCCTCGTACTCGTTCTACACGCATGCAAGAACACATCAGAAAATGGCACGTAAGTGTGCAGTGCTCGGCGGAGGCTAGCTAGCTTTACCTTCACGAGTGTCCAAGCGCGGAGGAACTCGGCGTCGTCGTCGTCACGAACATGTCCACCGCCAAGCCCCACCGCCAAGCCCGAGAAGTACACGAAGGGGGCCCTGACCTTGACGCCGTGCTTCTTGCAGAAGGGCACCCAGAGCTTGGCGAACTCGGCGGCCTCGCGCAGCGCGTAGCAGGTCACCGCCGAGCACCCGTCGTCGGAGACGTAGCACGACAGCTTCCCTGCGGGGTAGTCCAGCGCCAGCAGCGACAGCACCGTGTTCACCGTCACCACCGGCGGCTCCAGCTTCGGGTCGGCCGTCGTCACGAACATGTCCACCGTGTAGAAAATCAAGATCACAATCACAGCACAATATCGTTAATTGGCTAGCCTAGACAAGGATTTGCGCTCAAGAACACGAAATGGACATGAACTGGCAACTGTCGACAGGGAGTGACAGTGCCCTTTTTCACTGATTGAGGTCTGCAATACAATCACGATTACAAGTAAACTGAAGCGCTAACTCACACTTCGAACTCTAGGCTACTTATACCAGTAGTCATTACACACACTTGTTTAGAATAAAACTGCTAAACACAAGATACAAGTGACCAACAATGCAACTGCACTGTCAGTGCACGAACGTGGGCGCGCTCACCGCGCCGGCTCCAGTAACCGTTCCCGCTGCATCTTGAATTCAAACACGCTGCTTCTCCCGCTTCACCAGCATCACGAGCAGCCTCCAAGACTTCATTGTGCAGCTGGCTTACACCAACATACTCCCCCCTAAGCCTGATGCACATCAAGCTTCCTGATCCCGAGTAGATGGTTCATCACACCCAACATCACTGCTGGCAAGGCTTTTGTCAGAGTATCTGCCTTCTGCTCTGCAGTGCACACTCTCTTCACAACAATCTGCTTCCTCTCAACACACTCCCTAATGAAATGGTATTTGATATCTATATGCTTACTCCTACCATGAAACACAGGGTTTTTCATCAAGGCAATAGCTGAATTGTTGTCAACAAATAGTTCTACTGACTTTGGCTTCCTTCCAGTGAGCTCACTCAACAGACTCCTGAGCCATAAGGCTTGCTTTGCAGCTGCTGTTGCTGCCATGAACTCAGCCTCGCAAGAAGATAGAGCAACAGTTTTCTCCTTCTGAGAACACCAAGTAATCAGACTCTCATTCAGATAGAAAGCCATACCTGCTGTACTCCTTCTTCCAACCAAGTCACCAGCCAAATCACTGTCAGTATAACCAATTATTTCTTCTTCTTTCCCACCTTGGGTATACACCAACCCAAAATCCACAGTACCCTTCAAATATCTCAGTATTTGCTTTACTGCTCTTTGATGCTTCACTGTAGGTTTCTCCATGTATCTACTAACCATCCCCACTGAAAAAGACAAATCTGGTCTTGTATGCAGTAGATACCTCAGACACCCAATTACTCTTCTGTAATCAGTGGCATCAACTCTTTCTCCTCCTTTATCCTCATCAAGTTTAGCTCCTGGATCCATTGGGATTTTGGTAGGATTACAATCTTCCATACCAAACTGGCTCAATACTTTCTTTGCATAGCTGGACTGTCTGACAGTAACATAATCCTGCTGCTGATCAACCTCAATCCCCAGATAGAATGATAATAAACCAAGATCACTCATATCAAATTGTGAGGTCATTTCTTTCTTGAACAACTCAATCTCAGCTGGATCTTCTCCTGTCACTATCAGATCATCAACATAAACACCAAGTATAACTGCCTTCTTCCCAACTCCCCTAGTGTACACTGCTGGTTCACTAGCACATTTGCTAAATTGCAAATTCTTCAGACTACTGTCTAATTTCACATTCCAGGCTCTAGGAGCCTGTCTCAAGCCATAGAGTGCTTTGCTTAACTTCAGAACCATTCTTTCCTTTCCTTTCTCCACAAAGCCTTCAGGTTGTACTACATAAACTTCCTCTTCCAATTCACCATTGAGAAATGCTGATTTCACATCAAGATGATGCACCTGCCATCCTTTGTTTGCTGCCATAGCTAGTATCATCCTGATTGTATCCAGCCTTGCAACTGGTGCAAACACTTCCTCAAAATCAACACCCTGTTTTTGTACATACCATTTAGCTACCAGCCTAGCCTTGTGTTTTACCACCTCTCCCTCAGAGTTCCTTTTGAGCTTGAAAACCCATTTAAGCCCAATTGGCTTCTGCCCTGGTGGCAAAGCAGACAATTCCCAAGTCTTGTTTTTGCAGATAGACTGAATCTCACTCCTCATGGCATTCATCCAATTCTCATCACCTGCTGCTTCCACAAAACTTGAAGGTTCTTCCATTACTGCCAGCAAAGCAGCAATTTCTGTGTTAGAATTCAGTTCCACTTCTTCTGATTCCTGATAGACCTCATTCAGGTCTCTGAATCTGAGTGGGGCTTCATCATAGTTGTCACTGTCATCAACATCCATCATATCATGATTCCCCCAAAGTTCTGTACTGAATTCCCTGGAAATACACTGTCTGCTTCTATTATCGGATTTTCTTCAGGCACTGGCTGACTGCCAACTGACTCTGAAACAGACTCACTGCCTCCTGCTGTGTTTGTATTTCCACTTGGCATTCCATCTTGAACATCTGTCTGATGGTCTTGATCTGCACCAATCCCAACACCAAATCTCCCAAAACCTCCAGAAAAGAATTGCCCATCCCCTTCTTCTCGGTTTTCAGTAAAATCCCTTTCTTCTTCTGTTTCCCAGCTCCACTTCTGTGACTCCTCAAAAACAACATCTCTGCTAACCACTATTCTGTTGTCTTGAGGATTGTACATTCTGTGAGCCTTGCTTCCTTCTTCTATGCCAAAATACACCATTGGCACACTTCTATCTTCAAGTTTCTTCAGATGTGGCTTCACTGTCTTCACATGCCCTTTACAGCCAAAAACCCTCAAATGGCTCAGATTTGGTTTTCTTCCATTCCAACCCTCATAGGGAGTCCTATCACCCATTGCTTTGGTTGGTAGTCTGTTTAGCAAGTACACAGCATGTCTGACTGCCTCAGCCCAAAACCTTCCTGGTAAATTCATGCTTTTCAGCATAGCCCTTGCCATCTCCATCACCGTTCTGTTCTTTCTTTCTACCACTCCATTTTGTTGTGGTGAATAGGGTGCAGTGAACTGGTGCTTGATCCCAGCCTGTTCACACATACTCTGAAATGACTTGGCAAGAAATTCCCCTCCCCTATCTGATCTGAGGATCTTCAATTTGTGGCTTGAAGAATTCTCCACATCTGCCTTGTACTTGACAAAAGCATCAACAGCTTGGTCCTTGTTCTTCAGCATGTACACCTGTGTCCATCTTGTGCAGTCATCCACCAACAACATGAAATATTTGTTGCCACCTGCAGTAGATGGTGTTATGGGCCCACACAGATCCACATGGACAAGCTTGAGTGGCTCATCTGCCCTCCACAATGCTGAATGAGGAAAAAACATCCTAGTTTGCTTGGCTGTCAAACAGTCTTGACAAACCTGATCTGGATGCTGTATCAATGGCACTCCTCCAACCATCTCCTTGTCAACTAATTTTTTCATGGCCTGAAAATTCACATGGCCAAGCCTGCCATGCCACAACCAAGCCTCATCCCCAATACTAGTCAACATACAAATTGGATTCACTGGTGCCAATTCAATTTTGTAAGTTCTATTCACTGCTCTCTGAACTCTCATGATCAGTCTATGTGGATTTTTCTCTGTAACAACTATTTCATCATCATCCATAACAATTCTATGCCCAATCTCTGTCAACTGACCCAAACTGATCAAATTGCTCTTAAGTTTAGGAACATAGTAAATATCATGCAACAACCACTGATCACCAGATCTCCCTTGAAATAGAATTGAACCCTTCCCCATAATTTCAACAAAAGAACCATCGCCAAACCGTACCTTACCAGAGACAGTATGATCAATGTCTCTGAACATCTGTCGAACCCCCGACATATGGTTGCTGGCGCCATTATCCAGGTACCAGACATTATTCATGGACTCCTCATCACCCTCTTCAATGAAGTAGAGCGCCGGCATCACCTTGGACTCTTCCAGATACACCTCTGAATGTAGACTCATTGTCTCAGTGTGCTCATGCAGTCTCAGTTCAACTGTTTCTGCGAGCAACACTGACGGCTCAGTCTCCTCTGTCCTGACATGATGAGCCTCTTCCTCTTTCTTCTTCTCCGGGCATCGATTTGCGTAGTGACCATTATTATGACACTTGAAGCATTTTATGTGACTCTTGTCACGTTTGCTTCCGCCATCCTTGGCTGCTTCACCTTGTCCTCCACGGCCACCACGTCCGCCGCCACGACCTCTTCCCCGGCCATGACTGCCTCCATCATGAGACCTCCCGCCTCCAGACCCTTCTCCCGTCGATCTCTTCTGGCGTGCCTCCCATTCTGACTGTGTGAGCAACAACTGCCCATTGTCAGAACGCGCACCACCGGCTCCCCGCCTGGTACGCTCATCAAACGCCTTCAATCGACCAACTGCATCATCGAACGCCATCTTGGATAGATCATAGAACTGCTCGACCCCCGCGATCACATTGAGGTATCGATCGGGCACGGTGTCAAAAAGTTTCTTCACCAGTGCTGCATCTCCCAATGTACCACCAAGGCTACCATACTTGACTGACATACCCGTCAGTTTTCCCACATACTGATCAAGCTGCTCATCTTCCTTCATCCGCAAAGCGTCGAACTCGCTCTTCAGGGTCTGCAACCGCGCTTCCCTCACTCGCTCCGCACCAACAAACCTCGCCTTCAGTGATTCCCACACCTCCTTTCCAATCTTCTTGGTCGCCACTTGCATCAGCAAATCATCGGGGAGACATTGCAGTAAGTGAGCTTTCGCCTTCCTATCCTTTGCCATCGCCTCTGCCGCCGTCGCTACCTGCTCCGACGCCTCTGCAGGCGGTTCCACGACCTCCCACACTCCCTGATCCTCCATGATTGCCTGGACTCGAATACACCAACTGGTGTAGTTCGTCGCCGTGAGCGCCGGATATGTGATGCGATCACCGCGATCACCACCGCCGCCTGCGCCGCCACTCCGGTCGCCCATGGTATGGATTTCTTGAGTGTTTGTGCGTGATTAGTGGCTCTGATACCAAATGTAGAAAATCAAGATCACAATCACAGCACAATATCGTTAATTGGCTAGCCTAGACAAGGATTTGCGCTCAAGAACACGAAATGGACATGAACTGGCAACTGTCGACAGGGAGTGACAGTGCCCTTTTTCACTGATTGAGGTCTGCAATACAATCACGATTACAAGTAA